TGGATTATATTTAAAAGAAATTTTTAAAAAATATTGATTAGAATAAAAGTTATTTCATTTGTCAGAATGTCAGATCTCTGTGGGACACCCTGTATATATATTATGCTTGTAGATTCGCCCGGCGTATATATAATTGCGCTGACGCGGACAACAAACAAATAATATTTATTATAATTATATACATATATTATAATAACGTGCGATTTTTCGCGTTATTCGCAGACGGAGACGACGAATTTTTCAAAACGAGCAGTATCGCGCCCGTTTCGCTGTTGGAGAAAAAGCGGGCGGGCCGGCCGCGCGGCACGAAGGCAAAACGGTCGAAAGCCGAGCCCAAGCTGAGCAGGATATGGGAGTTTATCAGGGACCTGTTGTTGAATTCGCAATACTGTCCGACGTACATATGCTGGGAGAACTACGAGGAGGGCCGGTTCAGGTTCGTGCAGAGCGACAAAGTGGCGAAGCTGTGGGGCAAGTTCAAGCGCAACGAGCGGATGAACTACGAGAAGTTCAGCAGGGCCATGCGGTACTACTACAAGACCGGCGTGCTGTTGCCGGTGCAGGGCAAACGCCTCGTTTACAAGTTCGGCCCGAAGGCCACGGGGTGGCACACGGACAACCCGAATTTCAAAAAGTATACATTTTAGACGTCCGGCGCCAATCGTGAGTATAATACACTCGCGCCGTTCATCGTCATATACCTCCAGTGGCGTGGCGAACACACACACATATATATATATATATATATATATATGAGGTCCCAAACGGGCAATTTCCCGCCGGTTTTCGTTTGCGTATCATCGCTGTTGTTAACTTTGACATTAAAAAAAATAAAAATATTATGTAACATAATATTAAGAATAAAAATGAAAAAAAGTGATGTACACCCAAAGCGTAAGTTGTTTTCTATGACTTTCGTCTTAAGATTTACTCTTCTCTAAATTTACTCACATAATACTAAATTTTCAAATATTGCATAATGCATAGGTATAGTTTGATATTATAATACAGGTATAAATTTTCGAGTTTTTGATGAATTTTGTCAAAATTTGAACTTTAAATGTTTATTATTTTTAAGTTTAAACATCTTAAATCATTCATTATCAATATAATATTTTAAATCATGTAATAACACCATTTTTTATACCCTTTCATTGTTGAGAATATTATTGATGAGCATTTGGTGCAGGTAAACAGACAATGTACAAATGATATACGGCCCCCTCAATCGCCCTCAAAATGTGGGTAAAAAATGTTGGCACTTAATACTTATATTATAT